AAGAAGAGCTTGTAATATATTTTCTTCGCAAATTAGTGATTTGTGTCACCAAAGATATAGAAAAATAGTAATGTACGACTTCAAATACGACAGGAAAGCAAATTAGAGACCGTATAAAGCACAGTCTTTATGATTAGTTTGTTTCTTCCAGACAAGGATATTATCAGGTTGACACTGTTTTATCACCTGTTGCTATGCGACAGCACGTTTACTTTCGACAACAAAGGTGCCGGCAGTCTTCTAAGCCGTGTAAACCCATGGATATTTGTCCGATTTGTAGCAATTCTATTGTTCAGATTCCTATTTTTGATTGGGTAATTTGTGGAAAATTTGTGGAGGTGGCTTTGGTTGGAGTAGTCGCACTGTAAAAATTATTTATCTTGCTGCACATTACGACAACATATCATCAAAATATTTCTTTCATTTTTATTTCTGTTGAATTATATAACAGGTTGCTGTTTGCGCCGGGGCCAATGTTTACAGACCTTACTGTGCTTTGGTCGTTGGAGTGCTAGCAGGCCTTACTTACATGATATGGAGCTGGGTTGTTTTGAAGATGAAAGCCGATGATCCGGTTGATGCTGTTGCAGGTGAGTTTGGTGGATAGCCTTGACATAAATTGTTTTGGCTTCTCTTTTGGGTGCAAGAGCTTTTACTCAAAATCATCATCATTATAATCGTCATCTTCAATTTGAGGCCCAGAATGTTTTACGATGACGTCAGTGAAATTGATCTATAGCCTTTGCACCATCTCGTGATGGCAGCCATGACAGGAGGAGGGAACAATTGGATGACTGACAACGGTTTTTGAAATCGATGTATACTTCTTGACCTTGGGCGTACTTTTTTCCCATTTCAGATCACGTGTCATTCCTTGAGCGTCGCGTGACATTTATTTATAGAAATAAACAATTTCTTCGCATTATATTAAGAATATAAAACGGCGAGCGTGTCTATATACTGTGATATAAGAAATCGTAGAGAAACACGAGGCGTAGCCGAGTGTTTCTTTGACTTCGAGTGCTCTACAGTTCCCAGAGTGTCTACAGTCAACTCAAAAAATGTTGTCGTCGACCAACTCAAGCCTACGCGACTGGACCGAAAGGAACTCTGGGTTGTAATCATTGAAGCCGAGTCGACTCCATAATTTTATCTGACTAGTTATGCCTGGTTTACAGGACGAACCTTCGTAGGCGAGCGGGAAGTGTTGAAGGAGACGTTTTTTAAATGCCTTCATATATTCGAAATTGTGAACTGAATCATAAGTACTTTGTTTTTGTTTCCTTAAACCCAAAGACATGCATTTGATGGATTGTTTCTTGCCATTATCTTATTACTAACGGGAACAATTTATTCAGAACGAATATCTAAACCGCTTCAGTGATTTTTACCCATATTCCTTTCGGTCCAGTCGCGTAGGCTTGAGCCGGTCGACGACAACGTTTTTTGAATTGACTATATATCACAGTATATAGACACAGGCGGACCTTTTATATCGCTTTTTTTGAAGCGAGCGTGTCTCTGTCCTCTGATATAAACACTGTAGTCAGCCAATCAGCGCGCGCGTTATATCTCAAATATTTTACAAAGTGCAAAAGGGTGGAACATTTTGTGGAATTACCTCTCGCTATCCAACATTATATCTGAAGGGCCACGATCAATGAATCACCAGAACAACCTTGTTCAGGGGGAGGTTGGCTAAAGAAAACAACGGAAAAGTGCCAAGAGCATTGAAAGTCTTTCATGCAAAGGGCAACGTAACAACAATTTTGTCCAAGATTATAGCTATCTCCCCGAAAAACAGCACAAAACATGTAACTAATTTGAAAAATACACTTTTTTCAGTTCACTTTGGAGGAGGTGTGTGGGGTACTCTTGCAGCACCTCTCCTTGCTTACAAGACAGGAGTCGTCTATAGTTGGAACCTTGTTTCGCTCATGAATTTTGGATGGAACCTGGCTGGTTTGGTTTCAATTGCTGTTTGGTCTCTGGGATGCTCTTTAATAATGTTTGGTATCATGCGTCTTACTAAACAGCTACGAGTTGCAGAGGATATCGAGATAAAAGGTATGATTCACATCCCCTTTAGACCCTCGTGATTATTCTGCAGCCAATTCAATTTTTTTGGTTGCGCAATGTTTTTTCAATCTTGTTTGTAGGTAAGAATAATTAGCAATGTGAGCTTCATTATCGCAGATTATGTTATTCTTCCAACACTCGGCCGTAAAATAAAATCTCCCCTCAGCAGTCTTCAAAGCAAGGCCGTACAAGATTAATGTTTTTACTAAGAATATTTCATCTTTATTCATATCAACATAATTAATTCCTATTTGGTATTTTAGTATTTTGCTAATTTCAATAAAATACGTTCTTGCAATCAGGTGTAAATGTACTTACGATAACTATACGATCTAAGACTTTTTGCCTGTTTTCTTATATTTATGATTTACATAAACCTTAGGTCTAGACATTCCAAAGCATGGTGAGCCCGCGTACCCTCAGGCCAGTTATGGGGATGGATGGACCTATCCCCCCATGTTTAATGCCTTGTCACCAAGTCGTTTGAATGGGCTTGACATCCGTGACAACCAACAGTCAGCCAATGGGGCATCAGACGTAAATACGAATGAACTTCAGATGAATGTCATGCGAGCCGGAGTACCTAATCTGGGAGCCGAATTAGACAACAAAACTCAGAATAGAAAGAGCTGCGAACTTGATGAAAAGCTTTAACATTTTCCACTGAATTAAGAACAGTTTGTAAATCAATGGTAGTAAAACTGGAGTTTAAAATGTTCGGATAAAAATAATTTGAGTTCTTGGAAACGACAATGCAATAAACTTGCCCGATAGGAGAGAAAAATTTAGAGAGAGAGAGATGTGTCTTCTACTTTTGGTGTATTAGTTAAAGACAACTAATTGTACTTTCATGTTAGTAGATTAATAAATACCTCCTTTATTTCTACCACAAAAAGGGAGCTTCGGTATTTTTGGTTTCCTAAGCTATTAGCCGTTCCGAGGTTGATGGAAAAATAGGGTCACGTTGGTATTGGAAGGCATTGACTGTTGACGAAATAGACGCCATTTTGGAAATATGTTGCCTAAAAGAGTTCCACATTGCACTGCACTGCCAACTCTACCCAGTTTTTCCCTCAACCTGGGAATGGCTTATTAAGCATTAATAGACCTCTTTAGCTTGAGGGTTTTGTCCAATACACACGAGATTAAATGTCTATCCTTCATGACGCTCCCGGCGTCACATTTCTTGTCTTTTGGAAGGGTATGTTAAGCTGGACGTACGTAATGCTTTCCCATTTTCATCGTATTTTTAACACCGAAAACAAAGTACAGAAAAGTTCTGTTCTATTTCTTTCATTGGACAAAAATATATATATGTTTTAGCCAATCGGAGTACACAGCACTATAGGCCTTTCCTAAGATATAGTTCATGTCCAAGCGATCTAAATACTCCAGTTTCGAGTTACCTGTTGCTCTGTTTCGTGTAGAATATTCACGTGTTCTAGTTAAGGTCCGTGCTTGTATTGTTGAAGTTGTGCATTTTTTATACTTTCCCGTACTTAGGTGAATATTTACTCACTGATACCAGGGGTGGACCTAGGAATTTGTTCAGAGAGGGGTACACCCCTTAGAATCAAAGGGAAAAAGTATTATTTTGTATGGGTTAAATCTTTGAAGTAGGGGTACAAAGTCGAACCAGGGAGGGGTGCGCACCCCCTATACCCCTCCCCTGTATCCGCAACTGGATACGAGACTAACCTTGAGTTAATGAGTCTGCAAAGAAGGAACAGCGGTAATTTGGAACTCGAAAAAGGTCTATTTACTTACCAGTAGCTTTTTTTCTTATTGGACTATTGAACAATGACAGACTGAAAGGAAGTCTCGGTTATCAACAGGCGGACCGTGGGAAAGCGAGATTTCGATTGATACAGATTTTGCTGTCTACTGATTGGCCAAAAAAATTATCTAAAGTTTTTGTTCGGGTAGTCCCGGTTAGTGTGTCTGAAGTGTAATTTTAAATCACGTGACGGCAGCCATGGCAGGAACAATACAGTCGTTTTACATGAGAAAGAATTCAATTCCCGAGACCGTAAATCAGTCTACTACTAATTTCTCAGGGCATACGATTTGGCTAATGATTAGGGTCATCTGGCATCTCAAATAAAAGTGGTTTTTTTTTTATTGTTTCGTTTTGTTTTGTGTTTGTGTGTGTGTGTTTATGTTTTGTCTCGCCTCGCCTCCATCTCGTTTCTTATCTTGTTTTTTATCTCTCGTATTTTACTCTGTTTTAACTATAGAATTATGTAAAGAGAGCCATTATAATTTCTCACACTACGTGGAAGGTCAGCACTTGAATAGATTGTTTGTTTGAACTATTCGTTATGACGTCAAGGCTGTCAATTTATGGAAAATTTGAAAACTGTAAAAGTCATCGGTTTTTGTTCGAAAACCAAACAGAAATTTGACATCGAAATTATAGAGTGCAAATGTGTTGTTTCCATCGACATGGGCTTGGGATATTACCATTAGACTACGACAGCATTTTGTTAAGTCATCTTACTGAGCTGTCAGTCGACACTATTATTTCTTATTCACAATCGTTGGCCAAAAAAAGGGGGAAATGTTATCCCATTAAATAATGTTGATGTATTTGAATCCATCTTTTCTTTGACTGGCACACCGCTTTTAGAGCAACATTACGTTCTTTCATGTTTCAAAAATTATCGATAATTTGATTATTTCGGGAAAGAATGTTCTTCCTGTCGATAATGACTTAAATAAAATAAATGTAAAATAAATGATTTGATATGAAAATCTGCTATCATAAAAGCTTTAAGAAGCGTTCTTTATGAAGTGTCTTTCCAGTTAATTTATCCAAAAAATGTCTTAACCCTTGTTGACAATAAAATTGAACAAAATAAATTTTCAGCATAATATTGATATTTCTTACTCAGTGTCACTAAGTCCTAAATGGTTGACAGCAATCTTTCGGTCGTTTTGACTAGTGGATGATGCTTAATTTCTGAAAGTCGTAAAGATATCTAAAACTGTACTTGTGATAGAGTCAAATGAATAAACATCAGTCACTTGCTTTTATCCTTCAAAGCTACGATTGATAATAGAAGTATCGGCCATGAATCAGTGAGCTTCAATCTTTAATGTCAATGTCTATCATAACCAGAGGTCATCTGGTTAGCCACTCATGCAGAGCAACTTAGATTAGCATAAAGAACCTAAAAGACATTGCAGTCAAAGTTAAAACATACATTAATGGCCAAGAAACGCAGCGTTACGTTTTACCTGGCAACGCTTCTCATTTCAAGCATACCTTTGTGTTGTCATACAACATTTCATAATGAAAGCACCGAAAATCCCTCGGAGAAACTTTTGGTTGCAAAAAGTCAGTGTTTATCAAGCTGTAGACTTCACACGGAATATGACAAGACTCTCTCAGAGAGCCGTGCTCCGCAGGTATGATATGTTTTTACACTGTCTCGGAGATATTTTGTTTTATCTCAATACAACACTATGAATCAAAGGAGATATTTATTGTATAATGAAGTGCACAATTGACTGGACACCCTGAATCAAAGCTAAAACAACAAGCGCCATTAATAGGTAGGAAAACTTTGAAAAGCTGAGGGTAGTAAATACTTTTCATCGCATTCATTCCCCAAAGCAAAAGTTAATTATTCATTTTCAAATGAAGATTCTGCTTTTTGAAAAGTGTGCATACAATTTGATAAGTTATTATCTTGGTTATTTGAAACTTTAGCAAGAAAACAAAGCAGATGTAATATTCAGAGCCGTTAGATTGAAAATTCGAGATAGAAATTTCTAGATATTTGAGCTTATTTGTAACTTTATGCAAGTTTAACCAAAACTTTACGAAGTTTTTGAAACAAGAACTTCATTCAAGGTTGATTTTGAGATATTTGGAAACGAGAAGAAAGTTAGAGGACGATAGATTATGATTATACTTTCTCAAAGAAAGCACTTCATCGATTGATGGCAGTTAGTTATCTCGAGTTGTAATACACGTCGTTAATGTGATGACAAAAAAGATCGGGTTGTCCGATTTCGAAAGGTATAAAAAGTTTTATTTACTTCCGATTAGTTTATTTTTTAAAAGAGCATCACTATGATTTGCCTGTTGGAAAGAGCTTTCATTGTCGTTCGCTGATCGTTTAGACCCGAAAACAATAGAAATCGAAAACAGGAATAAGCGTGTTTTATTCTTCAGGGAGATCAATGATGTAAATCATTTACTCTTTGTGTTTAAAATCATTATCATAATTATCAGTCTTGCTTTCGAAATTAAATATCGTTAGTAAACACTTAACTTCACATCAGCCTTGATAACATATAGCTATTAAAGTTATATATAAGGTCTGAATGTGGAAAGAATATTTTTTACCCAAAATTAAAAAAGGAAGAAAATATCTTGATTTTTGCAGTTTTTTTTCAATTCAATTTCATAATTATTTCACCAGATGTGTATGGTGGCTTTTTCATAGTAAAAAAAATGTGGGAATTCAAAAGAAAACTATATCCATCGTTATTGGGGCACTAGGCCTCATAAATCGGTATAAAGGAATGTCAAGCAATTGCCAGGAAAAATACCAATCGCGGAACTTCAAAATATGCTCTATTAAAGAAACTATTAATCACTTTGAAAACCTTAATGACAACTTAATTTTATGTATCAGTTTATTCTTGCTTTACTATCCTCTTTAAATAAATGAACCCTGTTATTTTAATTAGATCGATATTTATTAGCAATATTTATATATGTGTGTTACTTTATTGATGGGTTGCAAGCATTCCCAAGAGAGTTAAAAGACAAAAACATGGCAGCATTGTGGTACCGTTAACAATGGATGCTAATGAGAAATCTTTTGTTAAATGGTACCAACATGGCCGCGATGACGTAACGTGCAAACGAAGAATAGATGTAAATAGGATTCTGTTTTTCTCCTACTTATCGTATTTTATGCACACACACAAAAGTAGAAACGTTTTAAGCAGAAAGACTATTTGCAACAATAAAAGCGACATTAGGCCAGTGAAAAACAAACGAACAAAAAAATAAAAATCCAAGGAGAAAGGACCGTACGAAAGACCATCAAAAAAAAAACATGTTGATTATATGAATTACAAAGAAAAAGTAATAAAATAAAAAAAGCGAAAGAGGGAAAGTGAGAGAAATGCAAAGAAAGAAGTCATTTCAAAAGTCCTGTTCATTGACTGTTAGTAAACCTCTCATACGATCAGCACCAGCACTACCATCAGCTCGTATTAATTCGATTTCTCACCACCAAATTATCATGTAGCATTTTATAATTCTGAGGCCCCGTCCACACTATGCCGGATAAATTTGAATCCGAATTTTCATTTATTCGGTTAGGCCTACCGTCCACACTAGTCCGGGCGAATCCGGAAAAATTCTTCACCGAAAACGATTTTTTTCGAATACGGTCTCTAGAGTGGAACAATTTGCAAACACCGGCGAACCGTATTAGTGTGGGCGGAGGACATTTCGTATCCGAATTTTTTCGGATACGATGACGTCATTATTGTCATAGGAACATGGCGGGAATGCTAAAAATTCACCGCGGGCTCAATTTCAGCTTCGATGCACATGCTCAGATGTGCAATGAAGCGTTTTTGCCGCCTCCGATCGGACTAGTGTGGACGCAAAACATTTTATTCGTTTTCATGCGTGGACGGAAAAATTTTTTTTCGGTTTCGGTGTGAAAGTTGCGGATTCAAATTTATTCGGCATAGTGTGGACGGGGCCTGAGATTTTAATCGCAGACCTATAATTATCAATTGTTTTAACAATACGCTTGCAGATAAAAATAACTTCATAACAATTAAATTTACCTTATCTCAAGTTGTGGTCCTTTCACGTTTTCATCCATCCATGACATCTAAAAATCGTTATCTGTTTCAAAAAAACTCGAATTTCATTATTCAACACTGACTTCAAGATTTACTGCTATTTTTATAAATAAGCGTACATTGTAGCTGCGAGCTGCGCGCTGACATTTGGTTCTTCGCTGCCGTCAATCAAAAATAATCAGTCGGTACCTTTTATGTTCTTTACTGGCGGCAATGTAAGACCAATTTCACAACAAGCCGTTGAATCAAAACTAACCAGTTGGTACCTTTCATATAAGCCTCATTTGTTTGCTTATTTTTTAACTGACTTCAGTTTAAATTTCGAGAGTAAAAATATTCGTAAAGTGGAGACGTCCAATAGAACGTACCCCAAAATGAGGCAACGTTTTGAGTTACAGCTTACTTTTCGATATTCTGCAAAAACTCAGTGGCTGCAAGCAGAGCGCTGATTTTGGTTTTTCGCTGCCGTCAGTCAAAAAAAATCATGCAGTCGGTACCTTTCATGTTCTTTACTGGCGGCAGTAAAAAAATTATTTCACAACATGCCGTTGAAGTGTTCGCATAATATAGAAAACCGCGGTAAAGTTGTTCAGTATTTGTATTCTGGGCCCATTTCATTGTTCGAAAGCACTTTGATTTTCCTAACTGCAGTGTTCCATATCGAATAAGTAGCAGTTTACATGTTACCGGAATGAGTTTCGTTCCGGAACGAGTTTACCCCAGTTGCCATATATTTCTTTGTATTTGTTTACGTGATACCAGAGCAAAATTTCATTCCGGAACGAGTCATTGCGTATAAATTCATCCCTGTTTTCCTTCCAGAAGGAAATGCTCGTTCCTGAACGATATTTTATGCCGGTACCATATGAACGTAGTACAAACACCCATCCCGGGAAAAAAACGCTCTCTGGGGAGACTGGGAAAGAGGAGAGACCGCTCTTTACTTGATACCATTAGAGTCATTGCGGATAAGTTCATCCCGGTTTTCAGTCCAGAACGAAACGCTCGTTCCTGATCGACATTCCATACCGGTATTATATGAACGTGGTACTCGAACTCATCCCGGAATAAAACCACTCCTTGGGGAGACTGGGAGAAACCGCTTTTTGGGGAGACTGAAACGAGTGAAGCATGCGTGTCAGACATTTCAAGCTTAAACTCGTTCTGTGAATTTTTCTCATGCAAACGCGGTGTGACATTTCATTCTTGTTCCCTAAGGAACTCATTTCGGTATCATGTAAACGGCCCCTAAGGTCAATTCCTTTGTCTTCGTAGGATGTGAGAGACAGTGACTGCTACCGAAACTGCATTCAGTCGACTATGAAAGGTCAACAATCAAATAAAGGAAAGAAAAGGAGCACGATGGACGTACCGCCCAAAAATGAAAAATACGGTAAGTAAAAAAAAAGGGTTTTTTCTTCAGGGTGGTAAAGGGTTTTTTCGTGAATAGGTTTTTTCCGTCGTGAAAATGGCCATTTTCATTATTTTGTGGAACGTAATTTGACCGTTTTCATTTCCGTAAAACGTGATTCGTCACCCACACACCACCCTAAATTTTATAAGCTCTAAACAAGTTGTTGGTATGGTATAATAAGATGACAAAATTTGTTTCAGTTGATTCGGTGTTATTTCAATACTCATTTTTACAGTTGCGTTCATTGACCATGAATGATAGTTCCAAGTCATGCGCATGATAAACTATAGTTTTCCGCTATAGTTATTTGCTATGCGCGGCAACTCAATGCAACCTCGACTTCGAACTATTATTCCTGGTCAATTAACGCAACTGAGAAAAGGAGTATTGCCAACCAGAAGTCTATTAGACAATCCAATAAAGCAAAGTGACAAAAGCTATTTTTGGAATGGTTGGCAGATTAACATGAAAACATTCTGCAATGTTTATAAGCATTAGGTCCACTCATAAAGTTTTGTAATAAAACCATAAAACCATAATTACAAAATGTAAATATGGCATGCACTATCATACCCTTACTAGAATAATTATTTGAAGCTTCTTTATTTTATCACGGTTAAAACATCAGTCGATTGCCTAAAAATATTTAAAAGTAGAGATTTACAATTAAAAAGCTAGTTACTGTTTTACATGTTTGCCGTGGAAAAATGTATCGTCGCGAGCAGGATTCGAACCTGCGCGGGGATACCCCATTTGATTTCTAGTCAAACGCCTTAACCACTCGGCCATCGCGACTTCCATAAGGTTAATAGAGTACTCGCACTAAACACGTGAAAAAAATACTAATTTTTAGTGGTAAACTAAATAGTGATAATCAAACAATAGGAAACAAAGGATTCTGTATGAATTACTACTAATTAGTACTAAATATTATTCACGGGTTTAGTGCGTGCACTCTAACTAAACTTTATGAGGTCAACCAGATAAAGGTGGTTTTTAAAGCACCGTCGATCGTCTTCGAATACTGAACACATGTGGCGACGAATATCTCTGAATACACGGAGCTGGAAAACCGTTGTCGGGTTGAAAAGGTTCAGTAATTGAAGCTGGGGTTAGCGGTTAATGAGGCTAATACTTTGCATATTGCAGTATTGCAGTTATCAAATATTGCTTTATATTACTGAACCAAAACATTTTGTCACTCTTCATGCATTATCTTTCTACAAATACTCTCCAAATTCCCAGGTTATCGACTACCCAGAATAGCCATCAGTCTTGGCTTTATTGGTTTAACTTTTTTAACCCGACAACATTTGAAAAAAGAATGGTGTAGCAGAGCGTAGACTAGCAGTTTCTAGGGTTTTTATGTAAGGCTTATTGTATTTTTTTTAAATATATTTTTAATGTATTTAGATTGTCCTTTGGATACGGAAATAGCTGAACGAAGACTTGGAGATATTCAAAACCTGTCGGTAGTATTTCTACAAGAGAAGGGAAAAGATGGCAATGTGACCTGGGTTGCAAATGTAACCTGGGATGTTTTCTTAAGTAAGTAATTTTGGAAACGCTATAAACGTTGCGTCATAACTTAAATATGTGCCGAGCACCTCTTGTGTGGGTGCGATTCCCACCGAACAAGAAGCACCAAACGCCAAACTCATCAACTAATGATGAGTTTGTTAATGGAAAAAGTCCTATGGACTTATACAACTAAAAGAAACGGTTTGCATCGACGGAGTTGTTTTGGGTATCAGCTTTTTCGGAGCTGAAGAACGCTTTGCATCATAGGCTGTTTCGGGGGATACTTTACTGCGCTTTTCGATATTATGCGATCTCGGACGTTCCAACGGCTTGTTGTGAAATTGGTTTTCCACTGCCGCCAGTCAAGAACATAAAAGGTACCGACTGATTTTTTTTTGATTGACGGTAACGAAAAGCAAATTTCAGCGTACAGCTCGCAACTACCGAGTTCGCAACATATCGAAAACCATTTACTTATATGGCGTCTTTTTCTTTTGCTGATATTGAAAAGTGATAGGAAACCTTAGTTGTCGTGTTCGTTTTCAAATTTATTTTGTTTCTTGATGAATGTCAACTGACTAATGAAGCGTCCCACTGAAAACACCTTCACAATGCAATGCATTTCTGTACAACTCTATCCGGAAACGCTAATTAACGTAAGGCTTACGATTGTTGATAAAATAAAAACATTTTATGAAGAGTCAATCAAAACTAAATAATAAAAAAAAGTAAGTGGCACACATTATTCCATAATCTGATGGAACAGTCATTATTTTAAAACCATGCTAGTGTTCATGTATATTCAAAATGAGATTCAGGAAGCAGTGATCGCATCCTTGATTTGGCAAGTTGCGAGAAAACGGTCATCTGTTTGAGACTCTCCAGATAAGTTAAAATTTTAATAAATGTATAGATTCAATCAAAGCATCTCCTACATTTAAAATTTTGTTAGAAAGGAATGAAAATTCCACTTAAATATCCTTTGTTTTTCTAAACTTCAGTTAATTACGCGCATATTACGTCATAGCCGCCATGTTAATTGACCATTCCTCTTCAAACTATTAGCTTCTTAGGTTAGATCCAAGGGCGGATCCAGGGGGGGTGAAGCCCCCTTAAGCAGAAAAAAAACAAAAACAAAACTGAAGAAATAGATGCTTTTTTAAATTGTTTTTCGTTGTGTTGACGGAACTTTCTGAGAAACTCAATTAGCCCCCCGTAAGCTCAATTAGCACCCCCCCCCCCATCAGCCAATTTGTCGTTCGTTTTATTTTTGTTTGTATCTTAAGTTTTTTAATTCGAGTGGTTGCACCTCAAAAATTAATTTGCTAGTAACAAAACTTTTTGTTTGTATTCTTTAGATGAAAGCCTGTACTTTTCTGACGAATGGAGGGGATTTCTCATTTTATGGGTCAACAAAGAATCAATAACAACCCCGACCATACAAGAAAACTACTGTCGATTCAACTATAAGGTGAATATAATAAAAACATCTGAAAATTTCGAGTTTGGTATGCAACAAGCCGTGTCACTATATTTCGATGTTCTGAATCAGCCAGACAATCTAAGAATCGCATCATCGTGTCCCCGTCGTGGTAACATCACCCCGAAATTTTACAGAACGTGGCATCCCTTTCAATCGAAGGTTTTTGATTGCCTCCTCAACAAACAATAAACCGATTTCGACTGGCCCATGATAACCAATCGAAAGGAATGTTCTGCTCAAATCATTAGACGTTCTTGGGGAGTGACTAAACGCTCTGTGACAGACTCTAAGAACGTCTGCATAGGAGGCTATCTTACTACCTTCCAAATACCTTTTTTGAGTTCCAAGTTACCGCTGTATTCCTTGATTACAAACTCATTTATTCAGGCTTAGCCCTTTATCAGTGCCTAAATATTCACAAATACCAACGGTAAAGTAAGGAATGCACACCTTGTACTGCACAACAATACAAACACTGTGAAACTCCTCGGACCTTCACTGCAACACATAAATATTCTGCTCAAAATCGAAGCTAACCTTGAGCAACAGAGAACTCAAACTGAGAAATGTTTCACTTTCCACACATCGTTTCACCGGTCAAACACAAAGCATTCAATCGAGACTGCAATATAGTTTCGAAGGGTTATCGAAATTTGAAACTTGAGGCTTCAATCAATTGCTTTGTGATTAGCGATTCGGTGAGAGTGAGAGTGGTAAATGCTTTTAAAATGCAAAGGTGCGTGAAGATTGCATTGGTATCGTTACTAGATATAATAGATTCAGTAGTTGAATCTCTGCTTTTGCAAATGTACTCTATGCTTTGTTTCTTAGTCAAGTCAACCCTTCCTTGTACAGCTATTGCAAAAAAAGGCCATTAGGGACACTAGAGAAAAACGCTTGCGCATGCGTGCATTTCAGCACGCATTCTAAAGATTTTGAAGAGTGAGAAAATAATTGTTTGTTTTCTCAAAGTATGCAAAAAAGTTCGAGAGTATACTTTTGTCAGATCAAGATACTGTCTTAACAAACACAATGTGAGAGAATTAGCCTTAAGTTTCAAGCATGGACACTTAATTAGTTTTGGCACTTTGTGAAGTTCAATTTATCAGGCATGTTCGAAAGTCAAATTTACTTGTGTTTTGACTAATTTGCATATGGGTTCAGAGCATGCGCAGACGTTTTTCACTCGTGTCGCTAGTAGGTACATGATGTATACAAAGCCCAAACAGCACTACGGGTAATGTGAATACAATAAGCGAAAGGTCACAACCATATGAAGTTTCCCCAAACTTATTTGTCTTGGCGTTTTTCTTGTACACTGACATTATCTTGCTTTCCTCGAATAACAAATTCCGTGGGAAGACAGTATAGATCGAGGTGAATAGTCCCCTTCACAGTTCCCTGCGCCATCTTGATTAATTGTAAATGTATGTTCAGCTAACTTCCAAAAGTCCATATTTCTTGCATAACTTGCACTTTATGATTTTGTCTGACTTCTCACGTTTTGCTTTTTTGGATAGAACAACACTAATTTCATTATCAAGTCTGGACCAACTGAATGGGCATATCCTGATGCAATCGATATTGGTGTAAGTTACAAATATCTTCCAGAGTTTATTATAAAATTCAGTGCGTGCTGTAATGAAATGCCGCAGAAGAGGATCCAGGGCTATCCCAAGCGCCTTTGTGTGCTTATAAATATTGTTTTTTGGTTTCAATCGGTGTATGTGCATATTTGTGTTAAAATAACACTGCTGATACTAATAATATTAATAGCATTTAATGAAGGCGTATTCGACTAATTTGGCGAATAAGAGTTAACCGTGCCCTGACTTAGAAAAGCTCTTTCCTTGTGGAGACTTTACGAGCGGTTGTAAAAATGACCTTTTTTTCTACCTGTAATCATAGTTAATGGAGTGGAATGGTTTGGAAACTCCATATAGGTATCATTGTGCGTTTGCTTTTGAACCGTACCATCACGTGATACTGACCGTTCACAACGAACTAATTTTAAAGCAAGTAAATACCGATTTCCTTATTATTTTCATGTATTAACTTTTTGAAAGTGAAAACTTTCATCCGATGACAACAAACTGCGGATAAATGTTTCCGCGCAGATACAGTTTATAGTATCATAATAGGATTAATTAACAAAAAGTAACTATTTTAAAACTGTTTTTAGGGAAAAAATTCTATATTCCCCAATAGTATAAACAAAGTACGGAACCATTTTTTCTTCTTTGTGTACGGTCAACGTCATATACAATGGATAAAGTCACTTATAAAGTCAATTATATATTTCATATACACTCAATTGAAGAATCGTTGTCGGGTTCAGAAACATAGAACATAGAAGATGAGACCGAAATGGCACATTGGAAGTACGTTAATTCGATGCATGCTGTGACCGGCGACCCGTGTCATCGTCCACTGTTTTTAATACGCGTTAGGCATTCTAAACCGACTGCATGGATTGCGCAAATGAATACATTATAATATAATTATGTCATTTCCCATGTGCCATTCGGTCTCAGCTTTCATGTTCTATGTTTCTGAACCCGACAACGATTCTTAATTGAGTGTATATTCTCAAACACAAATAAGATTATTTGTTTGACCTGTATCCATATTCATGTGTCTTCTCATGTGCAACCATTAAACAAAGAAATAATCTATCAATAGCCCGGCTAACCGGCTGAGCATGCACCCGGAGCATCAAGCTTACAAACTTTGCTGCCCAATCCGCATTGCCGGTCAGCATGAACTTCTGCGGTCACAATGTTTAAACATATTACTTATTCTTCTTAAATATCGCTTTTTTCATTCCGTAGGTTTTAATTTATCCTCCAACGGAAGATGATGTAAATGGATTAGATCTTGTTACTTTTGATCCTAAAGTTCCTAAAGGTATGTTAATAGGTCGAATGGTTAAAGTGCCTATCACTCTTCTGACAATATTCTCAGTATTGGGGCAAGCTGTTGAATGATTCCCACCCCGTTCCCCCCCAAATTCATGGTTTGAGTGCAGCTTCTGGAAGTCATAGATGTTTTTCCATGCCATATATATGCTAATTACTGTGACGTATGAGGAGTAATCATTTTTAATATACAAAACATTACTGACACAGATAAAGTGAATTTGAAATACGTCATTGTTTTATCTATTGCTTTTATAGAAATTAAAGACTTTTTGGATAACAAATTTCCATTTAACGGGAAGCGAGAGTCTGAAACTTATTGATTGGTTACATGGCAGTAAAAGATTGAAACAATTTTGAAGTATTCAAGCTAATTTGTTAAGCTTGTGGGACATAGCAACGGTAACTAAGGGGAGTTGAAGCCTTGACTTACTAAGAGCATTACACCACCTGGTAACAATATAGTAACGATGTATTTATCTCTTACTTTCGAAGAAAATGGAACAAATGCAAGCAGTCCTTTCTCTACACCTACGCCTTCGCCTACTACACAGCCTCTTTATCCTTTTCTATCGATATTCTTCGGCTGTTTTTTAGGAATCACGGCAGTTTGCTTTGCGTTGTATCTGACATGGAAAAGGCGAATTAAGAATGGAAACGGTGTACGAGGTGAGTTTAAGTAGCCTACGTAGCATTCTTGTACCCAGAGCCTCGGCTCTTCATATCAAAAATCAGAGGCTAGAAACCCTAAAATTCAATCGAACTTCATTGGCTGTTAAAAATAACATAGCAACGAACTCTGATTGGTCGAAAAGGATAAACAAACGTACAAACGGAAACCAAGAAAGACCAATCGACGTGAACGGTTATGTATTCTCGAATCTTGAATCAAATCCTATTTCCATTTGTCGAACATATAAACTATTGCAAATAGAAGACGTAGAAGACCTCGTCGCAAGATTCTGGCTTACGGTCTGTAGGGTTCCCAAGAGCCTACGATTTGGGTAATGAGTAGGGTCTGGAAACGAGAATGGGTAGCGGCTCCCTGGCGTGAAGTTTGGGGTAGGAAGACTGGGGATGGGGGAAGAAGGAGAACTTCTTTCCTCTTCTGTTCCCTCTCCCCAAATTCCCACTCCGGAGGGTCGTTTCGTAGACTAGAGTTCAAGGGGCAGGAAGAATGATCCTTTTGAGAAAATAAAGTCAGCAATTTATCTTTTATGCGCTCTTTATGTGTTTGAATGAGGACAGAGGCACCACTGACCTTGATACCAGCCCACAGTCATTCTTTAATCCTCTATGGTTGAGGTTTTATTATTTTTTGTTGCTTTTTTTTTTTTTTTTTTCGTGCGTGCGTGCGTTTAATCAGGTCGGATTTAAGCTTTTGGTCCAAAAATAAAATTAACAATGCACTGCAATGTTAACTGACCCAGTGTTTTTCTCAACCTGGAAATGGCTCATATCAATGGCTATTAGTGATAGATAGTCCGCTTTAATTTGCTGGGTAACTGAATTCTACCGTATATAAAAGCTATATATAAAAGCTCGGCAAATTTGTAGGAAACCTAATAGTCCTGATATTTCATTTGCTTTACAGATCAAGAAAACTTTGAATACGATGCATCCATCTTATACAGTACTCTAGATGAAGAATGGGTAACTGGGGAGCTTATTCCTTTACTGGAGACACAACACAATTTCAAGTGTTTTATACATTTCAGAGATTTTGAGGTCGGCAAAATACTTCACGAGAACATGGCTAACGCCGTTTATAAGTGCAGGAAGAACCTGGCGGTTGTTTCGAAAAACTTTTTGAATAGTAATTACTGTAAAGAGGAGCTGAGTATGGCACTGGAACGCGTACAGAGGTGCGGAGATTATTCACTCATAGTCGTGAACTTGGACGGTGTATCCAAGGACCAGCTACCAAGAGCACTATTGACAAGAACATTTGTGAACTTAACGAATTCACAAGAACAAAATACTTGGAAAAACAGACTTGTGAGACAAATTAGTGTTGAAGAGGAGAGCGCATCCCAAGCTCAAACTCCACAAAGATCTATCGTGAGACTCGAGAGTAACATGACGACATCGGTCGTGCAAGAGGGAGACACACGCCGAAATGAAAGTGTAATTTAGAAACGGGTGTGATGATAAAAAAAAGTCTTTATTAATAAGTTGCATACGAAGCGGGAAGACGCGCACTATGGGTGATGTGAATGATCGAAAGGTAACATGTCAATCGTCGAACTTCACATGAGTCGAACCTAATGACATCAAAGAAGACCGTCTTGTTATCCATTGCTTCAATTTTGTTTCGTCCCAGATCTGCACTAGCGCAATAGTGCAGACTCTGGGAACGAGAATGGGTTGACACTCGGAGCAGTCGGACTGACGTGACAACCGAACCAAACATATCTCGTATAGAACACTTTGTAAAAACACTATGTACATGAAATGAGTATCACTTGCAAATTTATCATACAGATTAAGACACTTATCTAATTATAATCATTTTGAGATACATTGATATAACAGCAGAGCCAATGATTTGTCAGACAGATTAAGACACTCATCTAATTATAATAATTTTGAGATACATTGATATAACAGCAGAGCCTATGATTTACAGTGCAAACAATATAACCGTGAAACTTTAGTAACACTAAATAGCACAATTTCACAATTTCGTTCATGCAAATTCCATTGTTTTCTATTGTTTAATTAGCACAATTTTGTACTATTTAGTAATTAGTGTTTCACGGATTAATTGTTTGCACTCTATCAGACAGATTAAGACACTTATCTAATTATAGTAATTTTGAGATACATTGATATAACAGCAGAGCCAATGATTTTACAAATCTGAATAGCTGGTTAAAAAAATATTGAACTAAATATCGCAATAACTTGTAAATACAAATCTGTATTATAACTGTTATTTTGAGCACATACTACCTACCTACGAAAATACAACATAAGTGATTTAGTGGGATAGGAATTATATTAAAAAACAAAAGATCACTGAAGCTGAACTTTTTCCTTTGTCTTTTAATGTATTCCTTTCTCACTAAATTACTAAAATGTTCTAATATCGTAGAGTGCAAACAATAGAGTACAAACACTAAAAGTGTGCAACACTTGCACTATTTAGTAGTAAATAGTGCTAATTAAACAATAGAAAACAATGGATTAGCATAATTTAGCAGTATTTAGTGGTATTTATGTTGCACACTTATAGTGTTTGTACTCTATAACCGTGAAACTTTAGTAATACTAAATAGCACAATTTCATGCAAATTCCATGGTTTTCTATTGTTTAATTAGCACTACTTTGTACTATTTAGTAATTAGTGTTTCACGGATTAATTGTTTGCACTTTATGACAACGTTCTTGCAAGTAGGTGTATGTACATGTTTCTATTTTGTATAATTAGTCGCATCATTTATTCGCCATAACTTTATCTCAATTACTAAATAAGGTTCAAAATCTTCTATTTAACCCTTTTGGGTCGTAAATTCTGCACCTTTTTTTCTGATTTTTTCTTTACCGAATGTCTAATTTAAAACTTGTAATTTTGTATGTGTGAAAAAAAATTAACCTTTGAACCTTTAAATGTGATTGGTTAATGATACTAGTTTATCAGTGTGGTCCCGGTTGGAGTATCCGCACAGGTTAATCAATAAAGGCCACTGGAAAATCAAGAATTATCGATCACTGACAAAATTAGGGCTTATGGACTTTTATTGCATTAATTAGTTCTATCGATTAATATCAATATAATTTTATAACGGATATAATAAAAGACAAACCAATAAAACATGGACGGAGCTATAATTGGATCAAAGGGGTGGGTAAAAGTCGGAGGATTTTTTTGCAACTTCGCAAAGATTAAATGATCCCCCCTTATTAGTGGTGACTACTGAGTGATTCTCCCTTTTGATTCCTTTCAATATTTACCTGATCCCCCAAGAGGCACTATATTTCTTTATGATCCCCCCTTATTAGTGGTGGCTACTGAGTGATTCCCCTTTGATTCCTGTCAATATTTACCTGATTTCCCCCAAGAGGCGCTATATTCCTTTATGATCCCCCCTTATTAGTGGTGGCTACTGAGTGATTCCCCTTTGATTCCTGTCAATATTTACCTGATCCCCCAAGAGGCACTATATTTCTTTATGATCCCCCCTTATTAGTGGTGACTACTGAGTGATTCCTCCTTTGATTCCAGTCAATATTTACCTGATCCCCCCAAGAGGCACTATATTTCTTTATGATCCCCCCTTATTAGTGGTGACTACCGAGTGATTCCCCTACGATTCCTGTCAATATTTACTTGATTCCCCCAAGAGGCACTATATTTCTTTGTTCCCCCCCCCCCCCTTATTAGTGGTGACTACTGAGTGATTCCCATTTGATTCCTGTCAATATTTACCTGATTCCCCCCAAGAGGCACTATATTTCTTTAGTAACAGTACCCTACAGAAAAATCAATGATGAAACAGAAACAGCAGAACGTTTTTTACCAATTGCACCCAAAACGGCAAAGCATTATGGGAATGCAAAAACTGTTTATTTTCGTTTTATCTGATCGTCTACACATGTGATTGTGGATTTTATTAGGCACAGTTAAAACGTCGAATTTCACGTGATGAATCTACTGTAAACAAGAAAAACCTGTTTGCTTAAATTAATAGGCCCCTTGCAGTTAACAGTCACGTGTCTGTACTGGTGAGCAAAGTTTTGTTTTTATTTTAGTTGGCCATTCTTTTTAGCTACTTGTAAAGAACTGAATGAAATGATGTGTAACCAGTGTGTTACGAAATGCAGTTTCATTACGATCTCTCGAAACAGGTTGTAGAAAGTTTGTTTGCTCACCAGTATATTTCACCAATGGGAATCAAGATGTTCATTCATTTGCTCTCAGTGAATTAATCAGCACGAGATTACTGAGCTGCAAAGGGCCTATTTCGTTGTTCCCTCGGAACATTAGCACTATTTTGTACTATTAATTAGTGTTTCACGGATTAATTGTTTGCACTCTATATTTTCCATTATTTTTATCATATTGTGTCCTCAATTAGTATATTTCATGCTAAAGTATATTGACAAGTGAATAAAGATTATTATTATTATTAGAAATTAACGGATTAAAGTATTTAGACACGTGAATGATGATGATTGATGATGATGATGATGATGATGATGATGATGATTTGAAATTCTACGTTTGAACCGTGCCTTAGTCTACCAACTATATTACGGTCTGAGTAAGACCACTCTTTTTGATGTGTGCGATTCGTATTTGGAGTTTGTATAGTAAGCTATTGATCTATTATTGTAAATAGGGCTATTTAATTAATAATAAATCTATGATCTGTGCGATTTAATCGTGATTCTTGTTGAAAACTTGTGCTACTTGTTCTTGATACTGTTCTTCTTGCTTTTCTCACAGCTTAGCAAGCTCTTCAAAGTAGGCGGCAATGACTTTGTGCTGTAAGATATCATAAGAAAACGAGAATCGTTTCACTTAGTTCATACAAAACATCAATAAATTGGATTTAAATTAAAAGACTTCTTTAGCTTGGGCGTAATGTTTTCCCTTTTCAGACCACTTGTCATTCTCTTGAAAATAATATCCTTTGTTTGAGTTATATTCATATTCATCCAAGGGAGCACTGCAGACATAAATTTGTTGATTGGTCTTCCTGTGGTAATGATGTAGGCTGACAAATACGGTTTTCCGCGAACGGATAGCGTGGGCTCAAATAAATATCAAAGATGGCGGCGTACATAACTTATATTTGTTTACTTATGAGCCCGCGCGAAACTGTCCCCGATCGACTTTTGAGAAACCGCATGCGCGTCCAAACAACAAGAAGACCAATCAATAGCGCAGCACACTGATTCTAAAAATAGCTTAAAGATTCGGACAAACATTGCATTCTGTTTAACCACTACGAGGATCATACGAACCGATTTTATTATTTTTACTTAAAGTTACAATAAAAACCCATGTAAACTAAGATCAACTGCGATCGGCTGTGAAAATTATCTGCTGAAAGTAAACTTGTAAGTTTGTTTGTCCTAATTTCGCCTTTGTCTTCGTTTTTATGACGTCACGGTTGCGCTGCGCTATTAAATTATGTACCACAGAAAGATCAATTAACAAATTTATTTTTGCCGTGCTCCCTTGTATTCATGTGTCTTCTCGTGCGCAACCGTTAAACAAAGAAATAATATTCTAGGGAATGACACGCGGTCTGAAATGGGAAAACATTACGCTCCCAAGGTAAAAAGGTCTATCATAAATGTTTAGTGTATTATATATTAGCATATACCAACTTGTGTACTTCCTAAGAACGCGCGCGCTCATTGGTTAATTGGAGGTGAATATTGCACGATATTCACCTCTGAATCTCGGAATATTGAGTCGGTAACAAAATGGCATCTGCCGGCAATCGTTTTGCTACAATTTCCGATGAGGAAATTGAAAAAACGAAAATAAATGCCATTCCTATCAACGCTAAAAAGGCAACCAAGTATGGCCTAAACCTTTTGCTAAAAGTTTTGCAAAAAAGTTTTGCGTGAATTTGTCACGCAAACTAAAAGTTTCTGTTTGTTTGTTTTTATTGAATTATTGTATATAAAGATAAGTTACTCTGTACACAAGTTGGCATATGCTATAACAATTATTCGCCTCGCGTCTCGGTAAATATTCCCCGATTTTCACTTCGCCTTCGGCAAATAATTGCTAATTCTACTCACCCCATTGATATAGTTTGAGCGATTTATTTTCTCATTCTGTGAGTGAGCTCCATCATCACAGGACCCTACTGGTAACAACATGACATTCTTGCCAGTAGCCTCTTGTAAAGATAATGTTACGGGGATGCTACCTCCTTCACGGGTCAAGTCTGGTTCCACTCCAAACACTACGAGTAAAGCAGGATTTCCTGTTAGCGTACTGCGAAATGAAGCATTTCTTAAAAAATCCTAGTCAACTACAATGCACTGCTCGCCGGAAATAATGGAATGCTTTGAAAAGCGCCATTTTCTCTACCAGGCAAAATGGCGGTTTAGTTGGTGTATTTTGAAAATCCAGTTCCATCGGTCTTGTTATTCCTGCTAGATGTGTTACGACCATCATAATATAATGATACATTTTCAAAGCTTTGCGAGATTTTAAAAATATTGGTAACGAATCTAAGGTAGATTTTGAAAGTTGTGATTATTATGGAATCTTTTGATCGACAATGACGCTGGTATTCGTGGAAACTCGCCCTTAGCTTTTAAAAAAAGGTATTTTTTAGTCTTTTGTTTATCAACAACATTCCTTTATTATTACTTTAGACTAATTCCATACGTCGGTGTTTTCGCTTTTTCGTCGATTCTGGATATCGCTCACACGCCTAGTTGAGCGACCACAACCCACAAAGGAGCGAAACCTACGACTTATGGAGACAGTCTATTTTCCACTTAAGTATGAGCTGTTTTTGTCTTTGGAAAAATTTGCCGATGTAAATCATGTTTCGTCAAGGTACTTTTTTCACTTGAAAAAATTCCTTGATACAGATGCGATTCGAACTTGCGATCTTACCAGCAAACATGAGACGGGTTCGAACAGCTGTTACCGTAGTTGAGCACGCCTGGAGCTCGGATTAAATTTTACCCGAGAAAATTTAGCTTGAGAAAACATAACCCTAACCCCTCGCTTTCGAAGATTGAACCATTTCAACGTGACAAACGACAAACAACATGACAAAAAACAATAGAGTTTTAGAACACTAATGTACCTGTTTTCATTGCATTTCTACCAGCCTGGTAGTGGGGATGATTGAAGTCACTCATCCAAGGCTCTCCACCGTGTCCCATGCTGACTCTGTAATATATAGAACATGTTCAGTGTACAAGAGGCGTGCCTCCCCCCATCCCTGCACCGTGTCCCATGCTGACTCTATGATATATAGGACATGTTCAGTGTACAAGAGACGTGCCTTCCCCCATCCCTGCACCGTGTTCCATGCTGACTCTGTAATATATAGAACATGTTCAGTGTACAAGAAGCGTGCCTCCCCCCATTCCTCCACCGTTTCCCATGCTGACTCTGTAATATATAGAACATGTGTGGTGTACAAGAGGCGTGCCTACCGCCATCCCTCCACCGTGTCCCATGCTGACTCTGTAATATATAGAACATGTTCAGTGTACAAGAAGCGTGCCTTCCCCCATCCCTCCACCGTGTCCCATGCTGACTCTGTAATATATAGAATATGTTATGTGTACAAGAGATGTGCCTTCCCCCATCCCTGCACCGTGTCCCATGCTGACTCTGCAATATATAGAACATGTGTGGTGTACAAGAGGCGTGCCTACCGCCATCCCTCCACCGTGTTCCATGCTGACTCTATGATATATAGAACATGTGTGGTGTACAAGAGGCGTGCCTACCGCCATCCCTCCACCGTGTTCCATGCTGACTCTATGATATATAGGACATGTTCAGTGTACAAGTAACGTGCCTCCCCCAACCCTCAGATGCTGACTCTGTAATATATACATAGAACATGTGCAGTGAACAAGTGACGTGCCTCCCCCAAGCCAAGCACTTATAGGCGGGATTCTACGGTATCTAACAGGGTGTAATAGGGTCACTCACTTCATATCGTTAGGGCTTCCACTTTCAGCATGTTTCTTTTTCAGATGATCAATGACAAGCTTTTCAATTTCAGCAGGTTTTTGATCTGGCACAAGACGAATGGAAAACTTTCCAATGACCTGCGAACAGAATTTGATTTCAAAATTCTCATACAACAAAATAAACTTTTCAGAACATTCCATAGAATTGCGTGCTTATTGGCCGTAAAGCGGTATTTGTATGAATAGGAAACATACGGTACTGGGTTACAACACGTACACGGTACGTCATGCTGTAACACTGAACTGTTTTCCGATAACAATGGTTATCGTATCAGTGGGAAACATGATATGGTACTACCGTAAAAATCAACATGTGAGTTAAGCGTTGTGTGCATAGAATATTAAATGTAGTGGTTGTGCGTGTGAGCGAAAAGTGTCCCCAATTAGTGCGAAAGCGCTAGAACGACTAGACACTTAAATAAAAGTGATTTATTTTTATTCTTTAGGTCAAACGTCGAGCTTTACATGGGCCGAACCTTATGACATCAAAGAAGACCGCCTTGTTATCTATTGTTTTAATTAGGGTTCGGCTCATGAAACGTTCGACGTTTGACCTGAGCCTGAGCCACTTGTACGAAAACCACTCTCAACATTAATGATCAACGTACCTTACGAGGAATGACCGTCTTTGAGCCAGGTTCATAAAACGCTCCTTCAATTCCTATCGATAAAAGGGTCAAAAATACTGAATACAATGAAAGCATGTTATGAACTCAATTTTGGGGTTTCATATCAAGTCGGAGGACTGGGGAGACCGGATCCAGGAAACTGAGAAAAGGACTGAAAAAGAAAAAGCGTTAGGCGAATCACAGCGCTGACTATATGTAAAACAAAACTAGAGAAGGGCTGGTTTCCAAAAACGCTATGTTCTGCGTTTTGGAAATATCTTGGTCCAAAAGAAGGTCAAACAAAGAATCCAAAACTAAAAGAAGTACCCCCCCCCCCCTTATATGCGCCCCTGGTTGGAATTTTTCGGAGTTTTAAATATGTAAAAAAAATTTGCGGACTGAAAACAAATTGTGTATGAGTATGTGTCCTTGAAGTCTCATATGAGACTTGGTAGCTCAGTGGTTAGAGCATGGCACCGGAATCGCCAGGGCACGGGTTCAAGTGCAGTTCTAGAATCAGAATTTTTCCTGAGTCTTTCAATTTGAAGCTTCATATACTGCGAGGATCAGCTCAATTTGAAAAGAAATTGTTAATGCATGGTAGAGAATAGACCTCTTTACCGAAACGACGGCCCATCCCATAATATTGATGTCTAAACGATATCAATTAATATTTTGAACATTGCCGTCGTATCGGTCTATTTTACAGTCATTTTCTAAGCTCTACTATCATACAGGAAGTTGCTATTTAAGCAATAGAAAACTTTTTCCGTGTTTACATAACCTGATAGCAACACGAAGGGAGGTTGGGAGAATTCGAGACAGTTATGCAAACCCGAGAACTGTCGAGAATTCTCCCAACCCCCCGAGTGTTGCTATCAGGCTATGTAAACACAGAGAAAAAGTTTTCTATTGCTTTTATRAAATAAATACTAAGGGAAAACATTACCACTTGCAAGAAAATAAATCTTTATTTGAATTTGATTCTCATATCAAAATACAAATTCTCCATACATCACCAACTTCAATCGTTAGCCAATCAAATTTCGTGTAATAAATGCCAAGGAGGCAAATGTGAAGCGAGAAAGAATCGCTAGCTA